CAGTCAGAAAATAATCTCACACGCAGTGCCCAGCATCGGATGACTCTAGAAGCCTGAAAAGTTCGTAGCATTAGTCCACTGATTCTTATAATTATAGCAAGACGTATCCCACAAGCGTATTCTAATTTCTACGGCCCCTATGTAATATTAAACCCTGATAGCAACTACTGTAACCCTTATAGACCCCTTTAGAATCAGAAGGGACCCTTCTTCCTTTAACAGGGACCCTTCTTCTGTAACATTTTCAGATTATTGGAAACGAGACCCTTCTTCTCTAATCCGGCTAGACTCCTTTAAACGGGACCTTTCTTCTCCAACCCTTCCTTTTAAAAAGGGACCCTTCTTCTCTAACCCTTCTTGACTCCTTGAAAGGGACCCTTCTTCTCTAACCCTTATAGACCCCTTGAAAAGCCCTAAACCCTTCTTCTCTAACCCTTCACTTCTTCTCTAACCCGTAGAGACACATTCACAAAACCAAGGTTCTTGGGTCCAAGCTCGGTTTCCTTAGTAGACTCGGTCTCCTTAGCGGCCGTAGTGGCAAAGGCTCGGTTTCCTCGGTGTTCCTTGGTGCCGCAGGGCAGTGCCTCAGACCTCGGACCACAGACGCAAACGGAGTATCCGAAACGGAGAGCCTCGAGGGGATGTTCCTAGAACCCTTGTGACTCGAAGCAACATCCTTCTTTTTTGGCGCGGGGCGGCCTCGTCGGCAGCTGTTGCTGCTGTCGGTCCACTCAATATTCAGCGCAGAAACCAAAGAACTGAATTCGAGGTGAGATGAAATGGCTCAGAAGAAGATCCGGTTCGGGGGTCCAACTCTGCCGCTGCATTTCCGGCAGTTCAGGTACGCCTCTTCGATGACATCGCTGTCAACTCTTATGCTTAGGGGCGTTGCTGTAATTACAAACGCTAAATAGCAACCTTTTTTCCTTGACGAAACCAAATACACCAACACCAAAAAAACAAAAACGCAAAAACAAAAAAAACAAAACAACTAAAGCCCCAAAATAAACAAAGCCAAAAACACAAAAAGCACCAACCATGCCATTATTTCAGTACTCCTCCCGACTAGAACGAGACATATACACAAATGGAAGAGTATATACTGAAACAATGTTTTTGTTTTTTTTTGTTTTTTTGGTTTTGGCGTTTTGTTTTTGTTATGGGAAAGGGGTTGTTATGCTTTAGGGTTTTAGTTGACAACGATGTTGTCGAAGAGGCGAACCTGAACTGCCGGAAACGCAGCGGGAGAGTTTACGTTGTCGGCAAACTCGCCCCATGTCGTGTGCCTTTTGAGCTTCAACTGTAGTATTCGAAGATGACACATATCTAACGATATGGCATCGAGGTGCTATAACTGACGGTTGCAGATAAATTAAACAACGACTATGGCTTTAACCTGTATTTCCCAGAACAACTTCAGTTCAACATGCAGTCATATTTCGCCCAATTCTGTATGTTGCACGAGAAGTAAACCATTTGGCAATTGGAGTTCGACAACAAGTATACAGATACGTTTAAAAGTCTTGTTGGATAATATTCCAGAGCAATATTGATATTGCAAAGCTGTTTAGGAGCACTCGGTGCTATGTATGTTTCTATAACTTATTATGGTGTTATCCCTTCATTTTCATGTGTCGGTTGTCTTTCCTAAACATGTATCACACAATGCCATATGTTCCAGTACAAGTGGTTTCAGTTGGTACGAGCATTAGGCTGCAGCCTTTCGCCGTACTTTGCATTTAAGTTGATGTGGCCCTACAAACACACTCATTCTTATACTAAAGGTTTTAGGGCATCAGGCAGAACTTAGAGTTTAGAATACCTTGATGTCCACGTTGAGTGTGCGCCATTTCTTGTATGCGCAAAGTTAAGGACAAATATTAACCAGCTGAATAAAGAATTGAACTTCCAGGGTTTGCTGCCTACTGTACTACAGATATGGCCCCCGCAAACACATTTATTCTTATACTCCAGGTTTAGGAAATGAAGCAAAATGTCTAGTCTAAAGATAGCTATCCAGTAGAATACCTCGGTTAAATGATTTAGTGTTGAATTTCCAGGGTCTGTTAACTGCTACAGATATGGCTTCAGATTCGTTGTTGCGATTAACCTACAAGCTGCTTACTAGAACCAGCACAGTAGAACCTTGGAAGCGTACATTTTAATAAGAGCCAAAATAGCTTGCAGATGTCTGGCTACAGTTAAGTCTATTCATGGAGTGCATTGCCAGTTAACAGTCACGAACAGACAGAAGATCATATTTATAATGAGTGACAGTCTCATTACTACACTGACGGATAATCACATACTTCTATGGATTACTGATTATAGAAACATGAGTTATTATGTTGGTAACTAGATACTTGGGCAGACGGACTCCTCGGAGCAATTCAAGCACAGTAATTGCTGAGCTAGTAATAGTCAGACTTAGGTATAGTAACAGCATAAAAAGTTTGTCGTCTGCCAATTAATCGAAATTTATAGCATATATTTTCACAGTAGTGTCTGTAGGGATAACGATAAAAGAAAGCGTGTTTTATTAGCTGTAGAACACTGTAGAAACAGTACATATTCTTTTCACAACTACGCATATATTTAACCGGGCAAACGAAATCTTCGGACCTGTTCAGGCAGAGCGTTTGTTAACTAATACCAAATCAAACTTAAATATGACAGTAATTTAGTGCATTATTTCCAGTAGTTGACCCAAACAGGCAATGATTTTATAATGATTACCAATTAGTCACGTTGCTGCGGTCAGGGATACTGACATCATGCATTCATGCATAGACTGCTAGCTACATAGACATAAAAAACACGTGATATCGATACCCTCAGTATATGTTCACGGTTTTCCATCTAATATCATTCTCTGAAAAAACTGTACTTAGTTAAGACATGAAGTTTTAGTGAAGCAGATCCCACTCCCGCAGCGACGACTACGGCTGAGAGAGAGGGCAGCAGGGGCATAGGTTAAGCCGGCGCTTCCCTGTTCTACCATAAGGCCAAAGAGCTGTACAAGGCCAGCAAAACTACGGCGCGCTTAGGGTTCCGTTTTTAAGTCCCAAACATGGTAGTACGGCACCCTCTCAAAAAAAGGACCCAAACCCCAAACCCTAAACCGGGCTTTGATCTGTAGCTATGTGGGAGGGAAAAAATTAGAACCCTTTTCAAAAAGGGCCCAAGATAGAAAACTACCCACATTCTGCCCCTCGAGGCCTGGAGCACGCAGCCCAGGCCTCGAGCCTGGCGCCGCGCCTGGTCTCCAGGCCTTGGGGGAGGTGTTTGAGGGTTTTTTGAGGGTGCAGGGTTCAGAAGTATCTCAGAGTCTTAGAGGTTTTAGGGTTTGGGAATTTTGAGGTTTAGGGGTTTGGGGCGTTCAGGGTGCAGGGTTCGTGTCCGAGAGGTTTGGGTTCGGGGATTCAGGGGTTTAGGGGGTTTAGGCTTCAGAGTCGCAGTAGCCCTGGATGCAAAGGGTTCAGAGTCAGAAGTGTCTTAGAAGTTGAGGGTTTGGGCTTGGGGGGTGTAGGGGGCAGGTCCCAGTTACTTTAAAAGGTTTAGGGTTCGGGATTTTAGGGTCCCCAGTATCTCTGAAAAGTTTGCCGGGACTTGTGAAAGCCGTGAGCATCAGCGTCACACGAATAATACTTTTCGATTGCCCAAGTGTAGCTTGCAAGCATCAGCAATGTCCCTGCCCCGTCGTGTGTAGTTGCAATTGTGACGATAGCACGTGATGCTGGTGATGATCTAAATCCTGCATTACCTTAAGGGCCCTAAACTATGGGAAGTATGGTATATTCCTTACTACGGGTGATGCAGGATTTGGGAAGTATGGTATATTCCTTATTATTATGAGTAATGCAGGATTTATATCATCAACCATGCTGCTACCAGCTGGCTTCCTCTCTGCGAGGTGTTTGCAGGCCCGTGGCCCCCTTGGCCCCGCCGCCACTGGGCCTGGTCGTGGTGAATTTTTTGTTTCAGGGCTTAGGGCTATGAACGACGTGGAAGAAGTTTGGGATGCCATGGCTTTCCAGAGATGCTGGGAATAATTATCAAACCTTATAGTATAGGTTTGAAGCATTCAAGTCGTTCGTTTTTAGAACGTGGTGCTGTCAGCAAAGCGTGGACTCAATGGACAAAAAACTTCAAGCCAGACGCCTGTTGAAAATCCCCTATTCTCCCCACCTCTTCGACAGTCTTCTTCAACCCTGAATGCCACTCGAGCTGGATGAAAACGCTTGCGTGCGCCTTCAACCGAGGACACGGCGTGTCTTTTCTGTGGCCTGGAGAAAATAGACCTCCGCGGAATAGTTGACGCTCAGAGGAGCAGCCAAAAACAGCAGTACGACTACGAGTGCTGGTGCTACAACAGGAGAGTATTCGTGACCTTTTTTTCGTGATACTAGTCAACAGCACCCGTAGCAGTGTGTTGGTGGTTGCTGTCGCAGAGATAGTGGTGCCAGCAGCAGCAGTCGGCTCCTCTCCCCAATTTCCTCGCAGCCCCCGCCATCGTAGTGCCACTACGATGGCGAAGCGAAAAGCACACGGCACAAGGGAGAGGTGCCATGAGCCCGAGGCGTGTCCGATGTCTTGCACAATACGGCCTATGCCCACCGGTGTCCTGGGGCCAACGCCTACCGTGCAGCTTTCGAGGAAAGCCTTAAGGGGCTTTCAAGCTTTACTGTGCTCCGTGCTTACACTCTGCAGGCAAAAGATAGCAAAATGACGGTGCCGGGTAGGGCAGGTGCATGCCCATGTCGTTCATGTCTCCTGTGGAAGAGATGCACCACGTGACCCCGCCACCTTACCGAAATCGACTGCAGGCCTGCGAACATGCATGCCTGTACTACACTGGGCATTCTTCGAGGCCCCAGGCACAAGAGAGGAGGCTCTCTGCCCTAAATAAAGGGATTCCTTCAAGGCCAGTACACACTTCATCCTATCCCTGACCCGCCGTAACTCGGATGAAAACCCGGAAGCTTCCCCTCCAATCGGAGGATCTTCTGCCCCGAGTCTTCCACCGCCTCTACATGGGCCTCTTGGCGCTGCCCCGCGCGGCGCGGAGCCTCGAGGAGGCTCGGGTCAAGAAGCTGCTCCAGGCCCGGCCCTGGGGGGATCGCTGTGTCCGTCGCGAGAGTATGTGCGAGTGACTTTGGTCCCACCCGAAAGCTCCATGAGAGGCGTGGCGCGACGCGGAGTTCTACCCCACCATCTACCTGGATGGTATCCTCTTAGTTTCTGCATTCCGTAGCCCAGCGTCCAGCGGTCTTTGGCCCACCACTGGCCGAAAGGTCGACGCACGCTGCGTTTCCCGTGTCCCCAAGAGCGATTGAGGTCTCGAGGCGGCTGCCTTTGCGGGTGCTCTGGGAACTGACTTGGCGATGGAGCCGCAGAGCAAGGAGCTGCGAATGCCGCCTGGCTGAGAGTTCCAAGTCGGAAGTCCAGGCAGAGCCGGTAAGGCCCGGGCCGTAGTAACTGTAGGGGGTTTTTGTTTGTCTGTTTGGGCCGTGAGGAAACTGGAGGCCTACGCGGCCCTGGATCCCTTGGCATTGGAGCGGCGTTGCAGAAACAGGGGCCTTTGGACACACAGCGGAAGCGACCAACTTCCACCTTCGAAGTCGACATTGCTGCAAAGACTGCAGTGCTTTGAAGTCTATTGGTCTGCCAGAGCTTCGGATCCGAGCAAAGCCCGGACGACCGACGTATCCGAACGCGAGCCGACGAAGGAGGTGATGGACGACATTGACGGCACACCGGTGATGGACGACATTGACGGCACACCTATCCAGACCCCGCTTTTTGCCGAGCTGCAGCAGCAGCGGGTGCTCAGGAATCTTCGAGATGTATTTTTGGGTCAGAGGAGGTCAATATCAATCTTGCGCCACATGTCATGCGTAATCTTGCGGACGTAGAGAGTACATTGCCGATCCGATCTGATCTTGGACGGAGGAACCATCCAGCATCTGCGGGTGGTGCAATATCTGCAGCGATGACTGGCTGGTCCTGGGCGGAAGGGGTCCTGCCCGAGACAGCTCCCATCAGCCCGGGCGTCAGAGGGCGAAGCACTAGGGGGCGGGGGGGGCGGGAGCACCGAAGAACAACTGTCCCAATGCGCTGCGGATAAACCTGAGGCGAGAGCCCTGCACCCTTTCAAGGCTGCGTTGATGATGACCTGGATGGCGAGCCGATCGGTGCCTTACCTGACAGGAGGAGTTGGCATGACAGAACACTGCATAAGAGCTTCTTACCTGGAATCTGACAGATCTTCCAGGACGGGTTGCGCCGAGTTTTCGGACCATGTGGCACAGGAGTTCCTCTATTTTCCAGTGTCGGTTTCGGCATTCAGCCATGCTTGGGCGCAGTTTCCTAAGTCCTAAGGGGTACCATACAGGGTACCATCAAGGGTGCGATGAATAAAAACTATAAATGGTACTGGTTTGCTATGGTGGGGCGCCGGACCGGGGTCTAGATTTCCGCCTGTCGAAGTCTGACAGGTTGCTCTTGGCTGCTTTTGGATCAAGGAATGCTAGTGGCTTGCGATTCTGATTTCCTCTAGACTCTGTCAACCCCTAAACCCTAAACCCAAAACCCTCGCCTGGCTTGTCCTAGTCGTGAGTGCTGAAACTCAAAACCCTGGTGGCTAGAACGACATTTTGCCTGCTGAAGCCTTTAAAAGGTCGATGTGCTGGCAGATGTAAGGATAATGTTTTGCAGGAGCTACACATGCTGTTTCCACGCCAATGAGCGTTCGTCGTACCAGTTACCTCGTCTAGGTAAGTCCGAGAGTAAGGCCGAAACCCTAAACCCCGTGGACAACCTAGGCATCTTGTGATCCTGGAGCCGAACTAGCTTCGCTGGTGATGACGAAGACAGTCAAGCGTCCAACACCCAAAAACTCGAAACGCGTATGCCCTTATGGTACCCTTATTCTACCCTACATGGTAGCTTTTCGACCCTTATAGTACCCTTTATCGTACCCTTGATGGTACCCTTTATGGTACCCTTTTGCGGTATCCTGACGGTAGCCCTGGACTTGAGGTGTGCTGGAGCTCCAGCAGTGGAGGGCCGCAAGAGCTGCCAAGCCCGCCACACCCGCGCCGGCGATGCCGGAAGCAGGCAGTTGAGGATTTAGGGTTTGGGGTCTGGGGTTTAGGGTTTCGGGATTAGGATTTAGGGTTTGGGGTCTGGGGTTTAGGGTTTCGGGTTTAGGGTTTGGGGTGATTGGCAGAGTCTGGGTTCAAAAAAAGGGTGTAGGGTGTAGGGTTGAGGGTTCTCATGAGTACACGTTGTGCGGGGGTTGCGCACTCACGGTGACGGCAGTTCCGCGCGAGCTTTAATGCATCAAGGCAGGTATCATCTTAGGCATGGTGCTAAATACTTGTCTGCGTATATGGGTTGACGGGCTATGTATGGCGATGTAAAGTAGACTAGATATCGCAGGATGAACTGCAGTACGCATGCCAGGGCATTGTATTCCCCAGTTTATTTCTGAGTTATAATTATAACGCATGAAATGCAAGGAGTAAGACTTAACAGTCTAATCAGGATGAAACGGTATGCCACACATCAGACAGTTAACTAGACCAACGAATAGATACATACATACTAGCAGATAGTTGGTTGATGTTGGTTGTATAGTTGTATATACATGTTTGTATGTATGCATGTATGTTTGTATGTATGTATGTCCCCTACACCTCGCTGCGTCGAGAGCGAGTGCTAAAATGTATGTGTGTACTGTGTTGTGTGTAAACACAGACGCAGACAGACAGACGGACAGACAGACAGACAGACAGACAGACAGAGACAGACAGACAGAGACAGCCAGACAGAGACAGACAGACAGACAGAGACAGACAGACAGACAGAGACAGACAGACAGACAGAGAGAGACAGACACAGAGACAGAGACAGAGACAGAGACACAGACAGAGACACAGACACAGACAGACACAGAGACACACACACACACACACGGACAGGCACACACACACACACAGAGTCAAAGAGCATAGCTGTTTCAC